TTTTTTTTGTGATGCGTCAGGTTAAATGGGTTAYAGACCCGTATTATGTTACCATAGTACTTKTCACGATAATTTTATCACAATGAACCTATATTKACATCCATTCATATAGTATGTATGGATTTTTTTATCTAGTTGGTATCTTCGTCACTTCTAAATGTTGCAAGAATTACTCATAAGATTTGCAACTTTCGCATCGCAAATTACAGTCATCATCATATATATTGAGTCTCGCAGAATCCAATTTCTATTCTTTTACTATGATTTTCGTTTTTAATCTCACTAGGTACTTTCATTCTTATTTCTCCCTATACGATATGATCCGTTTTTTACCGTGACAAAATGCAGTGCGATTAAATTGAATTTCGTGTAATTTAAAACAAATCTTAAAACGAATATGTCTTACGACTGGGCTTGGGATCGGGCGTATGTAATTTGCGCCAAAAACAAAAAAATAAATAAATAAATAAATATGTAATTTGCGCCATATCTAAAATTGTATTTTGGTAATTTGCGCCAAATAAAACTAAATAAAAAGGCAATATGTAATCTGCGCCATCGTTTACCTACAAAAACTGTAATATGCGCCATAATTCACCTTATTGAAATTGTAATTAGCGCCACAAGTAAAACGAATTCCATGTATAATAATAAGAAATTTTCTTTTAGTAATAAAACATAAAAAAATCAGTCATAATATAATAATTATAAATAAATGTATACAATTAAAACGAGCGTATTATTGTATATCCTATGCGATATCAGTAAATTTATCTGCCAGTAAATTCCAACAATATTGAAGTTGAAAGTGTGGCGCAAATCACATAATCCATTTCATTTTCTGTCGTGGTGCAAATTACCAAAATTAATTTGTATATGTGGCGCAAAATACATATTATATTTTGGCGCATATTACATACGCCCTTAAATGTACCTTTTGATGGCGCAAATTACAGGTAATTAAATTTGCGCAAAATGCCATCTCCCTTGGGATCATTCTATAAATTTGTGCGACACCGGGGCGTCACCAATTCACCATTACGTCATCGTGTTTTTTTTTTTAAGCCGGGAGCTTAAAATACTGTTGTATTTTTCTGACCGATTTCACGTCATTATAGTTGCCCGCCATGACAACCCTACAATAACAAAGATGAAATTAATGTTCCTATCAAACAATAATAAATTAATAATAATATAATAATTACGTTACTATAGGGACCTCATTATGCTTTTTAGATTCCAAGCATAACAATAATGCTTCATAATTTATAATTTTGTTATATTAATAACTTATTACTTCCTATGTCGACTGAAATTTGTAGCCGCAAGACATATACATGAACTGACGTGTACCAATGTATTTRTGAATAGGTACTCTTTTTCTTTTTTATGAACAATTAATTCGCATAATAATAGTCTTACTTTTGCCTATTTGTAAAAGTTCGATATAATGAAACTGTAATGATATATAGGTATGTATTATATTTAAGGGCATGTTAGGAATGTTAGGATGTCTTATAATGATTAACAGATACATTGTAAAATGTACCTACTCTTGAAACCAATTTATGAAATTCTTTTTTCAAATTTATTTTATGTAGCATAATTTTTACTGTGAAAAATATGAAAATTGAACTATCAACTACAGTTAGGTACCTATTTATTTATATTTGATATAAAAAGCGTTGTACTGGCTTGTCCCTTGGAAAAAAAAGTGCATATATTATGATTTATTTTTAGCCCAAACTTCCACTATAGTTCGATTTATGGAGAATTAAGTAGAAAATTAAAATTGTTTTCTAGGTTTTATCGTTCCAAAAATGAAAAATGCCTCTGGATGGCTGAATTTGTTCGTTATGAAAAATCGAGTGTGCGAATGACCTATAAATCGTCCAAATAATGTCCCAGTAAAATTGATTTAAAATGTGTATCTCATACATTTTTACGCTGTTGTTTATAGTTAATAGTTAATTGCTGTATAATTTATCGATAGTTTGTTTGATTCATTTCTGATAAATTTTGTTAATTTAACAAAATATATTAATATTTGCTTCTATTTAATCTATATAGTTTACATAATATATATACAATCGAACATGTCTCGACTAAATGCAGATCAACGTAGAGCCTAAACTATGATAACTAAAGATTTGAAATTTAAATGGTTCCTTCGTTTTTACCATGTAAGGATATGCATTGAGAAAGGATTTTCCAAAAGCCATATTTTAAAGAGGTGCTCAAACAATGATTTTGAAATTTACGGTGGAAAATAATTTTTTYTGTTCATTTAATAATTGCCAATATATGAGGTAAGACCATACAATAATTCGTCGCGCTTAAACCATTAATAAAAAAATGATATCTTAAATTAAATATAAGTGTTTATTTAAAAAATGATTCTTCTATAATAATATACTTGATTATATGTATCTTAAATACTAATCAATTGATATTGACGTAAAATTCAGATATGGTTTTATAACGTCTGGAAATATACTTAGTACACTATAAGACCGAGATAAAATGGTGTAGGTAATTTTATATTTGTTAATTTTCCCCTGGTGAAATCTTATTATACAGTTAGTTGAGTTATAAATACAATATAAAATTAATACAAATAATTAAAAAAAAAAAACAAAACATAAACCATGTATATTGAATGATAAAGTAAAAAATTAATTTTAATTGGGCTATTTCCATATTTTTTTTTATTGAGAATTGGTTACAATAAATTATCGATTGGAATGGACAAATATGTATAGCCCTTTGAGATTCATTGTAACCGATTTCTTCTTATAATTATTGTTTTTTGTCGTTTTATAAGTTTAATATATGTAAATAAATAATCAAACGATATTAAAGTTCATGTTCTTCACTTAACGGGGTATTTGTGATTATTGAAATAAGATAATACCTGATACCTACGGTATAGTTTGATACTCAAATTTTCTCAGTCAATTTTTATGTTACCGAATTTGTTTATATTTGGTAATTATTGCATGTTCTTGTTTTTAAACATCGATTCAAAAAAATCTAATTCAAAGATTAAAATCATTTTTTCCTTCCAGTACATGTTATTCTTTTTTTCTTCAAGAAGCAATTAATAATGTACGAAGATTTTCGACATAAATTAGAAAATTTTTCATATTAATATTTTAAAAGTTATAACAACATTTATATAGCCAACATATTCTTAGGTACGCGTCAATAGATTGGTTTAAATAAGATTTTAGGAGTAAAAAATTTCTCCTCAAAATTTGAAGACTGTCAATCCTTTCTCATCGAGCAATTTTTAATGATATAAAACCGCTACTGTGTGGAAAGTCGGTTAAATATCGGACTATCGCTTTGTGCACGTACACAACAATAAAAATAACAGTAGCATTATAACACAAACCCACAATAAAGAAAACGATTTTAATTAATAATATTGTGARAGGATTTTCGASATACGGCCCAGTACGTGCTGAGTCCATTCAGAATTACTTATATATATACGATCAAAAGCGATGAAATAATCGACAACCCACAAATATCTGTCATTCACCACTTCCGCCTGCCAAATCATGGGTCATGAGCGTTCAATAAAATCGGCATTAATAAACGATAAAATATTGCTACCGTTTTGATTTTCAAATATAACAAATTTTTTATTTAACAGATATAAAAATTCACTGAATTATTCGTGTCATTTAAAAAATATTATTTTTAGCAATTGCATAAGCCCGAATTCCTCAGTGGAGAATTTAAGGGGATAGGCAAAAGAGAATGTTCCCATACGGTCCTTTTAGATTTGTTAGCATATTATAACAAATAAAAAAAATATATGTGTATTTACATATATATATATATTTATTTTTGAGATTTCGAATCATATTAGTTTTAATACGTAATAAATTACTACTTGATATTTTTAGTTGTGTACTTATAATTCCAACGATAGCGCATGTAATATCTTATATTATAATTCAATTAGACTGACGTGTCATGATATCATTATCAGAATTCCTGTATACATTATAATAGCCACTATTAAGAATGTTTATTTTTATGAATATGTATTTAAACTGGTTTTTTTATATTGCCCCCTCACCATCCCCCCCCCAAAAAAAAAGGAAAAAATAAATAAAATTCTATAGATCCACCATTGTCGCTACTAGACTATTTACATTCTTAATTAGTGCTTTTGAACTGAACGCACGCGCTACGATTTAAAATGTAATCATAATTTGGCTAGTGTCTTATATATACTCAGACTTGCGCGAAACACAACTATCACCACTTTTGACATCTAAGCGTGTATAGATAGGGTTACGAAAACGAGTTTCTTTGTAATATGACATTTTCGACCACAGGCCCAACCGATCTCGTCCGAGCTGACGGCCAAATTGTTGGGAAACCGAGTGGCAGTGTCACCAATCGTCACTGTCGAACCGAGAAGGCGAAAGTTCCACAAGCCCATCACGCTCACGTTGCCCCTGCCGCAGGCCTCTTCCAAGGGGATGATCAACCACTACACGGGCGATGCGCCCACCCTCAGGCTTTTGTGCAGCATCACAGGTGAGCAAAAATCATTTTAAATAAACAACCAACTAACGTGATTTAATCTCCCTCTTTCTCTCTCCCTTTCTCTCTTTCTCTCTTCCTCTCTCACTCCTAACCTACTACAAAATATTTCGACGACCAAACGCTCCGTAACTTCACGCCATAACATAATTGTTAGATTGAAGTATTGAACGTCACAAATTTCAATTAAATTATAATCTTAATAAAAAAAAACGATAAACAGTATTTGCATTCACTAGAAGTTTCAAGATGAGTGATTTAAGTAATTTGATTAATCACATGATGTTTTCAAAAACTAAATACTAAATAATACAATTTATTTTAGAGTATTCAATACTCTCTTTCATTATTAATAATTTTCAAGAGATAATATTAGTTATTATACTTATTAGTTTACAATTGTACGTGATATGTGGTTTGCAATGCGTGTATTCTCTATTATGTTTCCATGTTTTAAATAGGTATACATTTCTTATTATTAAATTTTTCCTACTTGTTACTATATTTACCACCTTCTTATAGTCTATTATAATTTCTAAATATCTTTGGTCGTCAAATATATTTTATTCTCTCCGTCGTGTCCCCATCTGTATTATGGTGGTACAGCACTATAGACGTTATACCAGTTAGTTAAAAAAAATTGATTTGTTTTATTTTCACAAAACTTTTTTATTTTTATAAAATCAACTTTGTTTGAATTTTTCGATTAAAACGATTTTTATTTTTGGCTCTCACTGTTGCGTAACACAATACTGCACTGTTTTGACAGGGTTGTTTCGGAAAAGATCTCGCAAAGGTAAAGACTTACAGAAATCAAATAAATAATAAGAAATGATTTCACTTGATCTTTTTTTTACTTAATGTCACCCTCGTTTATTTTGTTTATTTCTTCAAGCTGACGCTATTTTATTACTATTATTATTATTATTTTTAAATAAAATATATCTATTTAATTCGAGTGTTTTTGATCACGGTAATTTTTTTATACCATTGGGTTATCTATATATATTATATACCTATAAATATAGACACTCAATCGGCATATTTTTTACATTTATATTTATATTTTATCACACTTATTTTAACTTTGATATCCGTAGTGGGCACATGTTTTGTATTTTATTTTTTCTTTCTTTTTCTTATATTTTTTATTCCACACAACAATTTTGGATGTGATTTATTCGAATTCAAAAAAAAATTATATTTGAAAATATATTTTACTTAAAAAAAATCTATGTTTGATTATTAAACATTTAAGAAACGTGATCTTTTCTGAAACAAAATCATTAATTTAAGCTTAAACGAATAAACAAATAAAACAACACTAGTTTTTGCTATGCTTAAAAACTTGTAATTTCAAGTTCGCTTTGTATATTATGATGTGGAATGACGATTTATGTGTGGTAGAAATATTGGCTTTTGTGAACCTCACCCAAGTTATTTCATTATTTTCTATGACATTTAAATTCTCTTACACTGAATTTCAAAAATCATTTTTCACTATACACACTGCAAATATTCGAGTATTTGACATTTCCTATTACGTGCGTACGTGTTGGTATTACAGGAGGAACGTCCAGAGCACAATGGGAGGATGTCACGGGCTCGACGCCTCTTACATTTATCAACGATTGCGTATCGTTCACAACAACTGTGTCGGCGCGATTTTGGCTGATGGACTGCCGAAACGTGGCTGACGCTTCGAAAATGGCCACCGAATTATATCGGGAGGCCATTCACGTACCGTTTATGGCCAAGTAAATAAAATCTTTTTTTTTTCTGTGTGGACGATGTAATGACTTCGTTTATAATTACTTCCTTCCGTTTTTTAAACATTTTATTTCAGATTCGTGGTGTTTGCTAAACGGACGGACACAAACGAAGCTCGAATACGGTTGTTTTGCATGACGGATGATAGAGAAGACAAGACCTTAGAACACAAAGAACATTTCACCGAAGTTTCAAACAGTAGAGATGTCGAGGTACGTTGTGCATAATATGCCGAGTTTACCGATTGAAAATATTACCATCATCGATGTTATTATAATAATATATATTTAGGAAATTTTGGTCTTGGTTTTCGTGGCTTAATTTGCACAAATGTCATGCCCTGACCATGGAATCGTTAATCTATATCCTATCCAAGTATAAAATTTAATGATATTTTTCTCAAGCAAGTTTCAAAGATTTCAGAATTCACCTTCTTCCTATTTGAACATCATATTTTAACCACAAATAATAAGCACTCAAAGTTTTAGGTTCTACATATTAAATGTGACTCTAAAAGTATAAAATATCTAATCATATTTTAATTGCTTTCTGTGTTCGGTATATTATCTTGGTTGTAGATGTATATTATTATGATTTATGATGTACAACCACATATTGTCATCTTATTACATAAGATTATATATATTATTGATCATGTTCAGTTCCTAACCAACGATAATTTTATATTTGTTATTTTAACGTAGGTTCTGGAAGGCAAGCCTGTCTACGTCGAATTTGCAGGAAATCTCGTGCCAGTCACCAAGTCCGGCGAACAACTCAGACTAGTGGTGCGGGCGTTCAAAGAAAACCGACTACCATTCACCATGCGCGTGAAAGACCCCAGTGCCGAACCACGTTCGTGGACCATCGTAATGAAAGAACCAAAAGTATACAATCTTCTCCGGAGAATAAAATCAAGTGATTTATGAAAAAATAATTTTCGTACGTCGTTTTGTACAGGTTTCTAAAAACGAACCAGCACAGACGCCAGTTTGCGTTTTGCAATTCGGATTGCCCGAAAACATTGTACACGATACAGATGTCGATGGCGATGAACATTACAATAATTACACATACACCCGCGATTCGAGTAAATATCCATAAATTGATTTAACAAGAGTTATTAAATTACATCGTTTTAATATAAATGTTGTCCGTGCATTTTAGACACCGAGTCACACAAACGTGCTGAACTGAGGATAACCGATATCAGTAATTTCGTGTCTGAAGATTGGATCAACCTGGCACACGAATTGGGTTTCCAATCATCAGATATCGCTCAAATTCAGAGAGAATACCCAGATAGTAACGGTCAACAGTGTATGAGTATGCTGAACTTGTGGATGAACGAAATATCTGGTCAAGATTCAGGTACTATGATATTATATGCTAATTTAAAATTCTTCAACATCTACAAAGAAATAACGTTTATCAGCACTACATTTATACATTATATAATTATTGATTAATAATAATATTCAACGTTTAAACTTTAGTTTTTACCAAACTTTTTCTGAGGAAGGTATTTCAACTAGCATACCTTAATTTGATTTCAAAATAACAATATTCTATAATTACAGATAAAATAATAATTTCAATTTTTATTTCGTTTAATATCCTTTTTTTTTATTTTTTTATTTTTTTTTATTATTCCGTGGCAACTAAGGCCATTGGGAAGGGGATAATACTGTAGGTTCTTATGGAACTGAAGGTTGGTTTTACATGTGGGTGAGAGTTTTGGCAGAATTTCTATAGGGGCACCCGTAGGTTTCTGCTGCMATACCCCGAAGTGGGGGATGGCGGCACTTGTTCTCCGGACACCGTGACTTGTCCGGAGAAAAATGCCGCCCGATGGTCGAGGATCGAACCCGGTCCGGCTGAGCCACAGCCGACGCGGTAGACCACTAAGCCACCTCGTTACCCTATCCTTTTATTGTTGGATGTATAATATTATAAACGATTAATGATGGTCATACGCGATATTAATGATAGTAAAAATATTTCAACCACACAACAAATATTGTTTACCTTCTGTTTCCCTTGTCCGGAAAAGGTTTTAAGAAATATTCCATTTTTATAAGTTAATACAAATATCATAAAAGTATAACGATTGATTTTTACAAATCTCCAATAAAAAAAAAATTTAGGTACTAACGATGAGTTTATTTTAGTTTTAAAAAAATAATAAATTTCTAATAAATGCATAGTCTCTATTATAGGTTTAGTTGTATAGGTACTAAATTTAATTAATAATTGTTTGATTACTCATATGATTTATTTATACTAATATTAAATAATTTATTTTGGGTTGAACAGTCATAGCTTTAGAAAGAGCTTTAAACAACATAGGTAGAGTTGATGTAGTGGAGAAGTGTAATTTTGCGGAAATCGGACACTATCCTTCGCAAAATGGAGTCTACACAGAATCGGAAAAACACCAAAGTACTAAAAATTAATACAGCAATTTAAAATGCGTCCATGTATAATAATTATATGTATATATAATATCATTTTTAGGCTATCAATCTTTGAACAACAAATATGCTGCCGAAGAGAAGGCTGTGATCGAAGACGAAGTGACCAAAACCGTGACCGAAAGACGTATGGAAATCGAACAACGGTTGAACGGTGAACCTGTGGTCATCGAAAAGAAATATGAACCATTTACTAGCGCAGACGACGTGGTCCAAATGACATCCATGCCCACGGACGTGTCCACTGTTGAACCGATTGAACCTACCGAGGTGTCGTTCGAACACAAACGCATGTCATTCGAGAGGGGTGTGTCGATCGAACAGGTGCTCCAAGAAGACATCCCGATTAAAGACAAATCGGTCGCGTCGGAAGATAAAAAGATGGCGTCCATCGACGAAAAATCTATCGACGTGGACGTGGACGTAGACGCAACGAGCCTGACGTTTCACGAAAAGAGATTGTCGTTCGAGCAAGGCATACCCGTCAAGGAAATCATACAGAAAAAGACGGAAGATACTATATCCGTACCTGCAGGACACGGAAAAGAATCGACGACGATAGTTGAAACTGAAAATTCGGTCGTTAAGAAGGATACAACGACGGCAAAAGGTGATATTATCATAGAAAATACCTATATAACACCAACTAATCATTAACGAATATAAATCACTAAATAATTGTTATGCTTACGACACCTGGTTGATCGTTTTTTAATAAAAATATTATAATAAGTGAAGAAAAATTTAAAAATGACAAATAATATAAGCTACCACTATCCTTTTTATTTTTAATCCAACTAGTGCTAGAAACTGATAAATCATACATGAATTTAAAAAAATAAAAATAAAATAATAATTGCTTTAATAGGGTAGTCATTAGGTAATGTTAAGAAATTACGCGTTACTTAATCAAGTTTCATTTAAGCAATAAAACCAAAGAACTTGTTCTGCTGGATAGTATTATAACATAACAAACGATAACAACGTAAAACATTTAAATATTTAAATTATCATAACTCGCTTCCAAAATGAAATGTTAATATAAATCTACGATATGGCCTATATAATAGTTTTTCTTTTACATTTGATAATCATACCTAATTAATTCACTTAATACTAATGAGTAATGATAACTACTCAAAATTGTGGAAAATTGCTCCAAATGAACTCTAATTTGGCATGTTGTACATTTAAATGATGGAAACAACACATGAGAGAGTGTTATTGTCCTATTAACATTATTATTGGTTAAGTTTTAAAATATACAAACACTAAACAGTTATCTATTATTATTTTAAACAAATATAGAAAAATCTGAAGGTACATCTTCAGAATATTTTTACATATTTCAAAATTTGTCGATTTTGACATAATATTAGAACACACCAATAAGCTTATAAAATAATAAAACTACTATATTACACAATTTTTTAACGTATATTTATATTAATTCAATAATTAAACATTTATTTATTTAGGAACGTAATAATGTGATWGTTAATTGTTATATTAAAAATCAATTTTGTTTCATAAACTACTTTCTAATTTTCAATAATATACGTATCTCTGTAAAAATGTTATTAGACGCAAAACTTTCTGATTCAAAATCAGATCTAAAGCCTAGCATTGAATTTACTGAAGACACAAATGAGCGAATAAGACGCGATTCTATATTGTTTGAAGAAGTTTCTCAAGGTTTAGTGAAATTAGATTCAACTGGATCAAAAGTAGAAGACAAAAGTAATTTGTAAAATATATAATTACAATTTTATCACTAATTATATTAACTCTCATTATATTTAATAAAATTTGCAGCGTCTATAATAACGTTAATTTATTTTATTCCCAGCTGAACTACTATCGCCTCAGTCATCTAGAACTCCTCCACCTAGCCCTGCGGAATTCAAAGACATAGAGCAACAAAATGAATCTAAACAACGCCAGTCAGGAACCGTATCTGAAAAAGAACCGCAAACAGGTAAGTGAATATTATTTTTTTTTTACTGTTTTACTGTATTGAAAGTGTACGAAAACGCAAGCCGTTAACGTTATGGATTTTTTTCACTATTATATGATTATTATTATTAAATTAATATTAACAGTGTGAATATACACAAAAAATAGGTCGACGTTAGTTTAAGCTATCGTTTAAGGTTTCTTATTAAAACAATGGCTTCATTCTTCACTAATGAGATAATCACATTACACGGGAACAAATTGTTCTGGAAGGGTGGGAGAGTAACAGTCGAACTGTGACGGGGATAGCTACAAAATATCACATTTACTTTTTCAACGAAACAGACTTGAAGCTTAGTTTTGTGTGCCCATGATATAATAACAATTGTAGTTTATAATTCACACATTGAAAGTTGTCATAAGACCGTAAGTAATACTTTAGATATTTTATTTGTAATAAATTAATTTCAAAACATAAAAATGAGATCAAAGCTATACCACATAATCAAATCACAAAATAAATTAATAAATAGGTACTCAATTTTATTTTATTTTCGTCAGGTAGGAATGCTTACGATTTTAATTTATTAAGTATTTTACATTTCACTTCAGATTGATAACTAGGTAGGTAAAAGTACAAAGTACACAACTTTTTTATTGAACGAAAACATTAATTTTAACTTCTAAAAATAAAATTGTACACCGGCTTGCGTTTGTTTCATACACATTTCAACATACATTGAAGTTTAAACAATTTCAAGTAAAATAATTAACATAGCCTATGTTTTTGTGTATGAGTGGCTTGAATATGTGATAACTAATCCTATTTATTAGTGCTGCGAACAATGCAAATGAGTAAAACCAAAATCTATTAAGTTGTAATAAGTTGCACTTATAACTATTTATTTTGTTGTTAATTGTTTATCAATTAACAACAAAATAAATTCATCAATGTTTTTTTTTCTTGTATAAATTGATTATTTGTTTTTAATTATCGTCAGTAACAGTAAGGTACGAATGTGTACGACTGTTGGTAGTTGTTTACAGCACAATACTATCCTTTGATCCATTCAATCATCATTCAATTGGGTTTATTCATATCGATCTCATAACAAAAAAAAAAAAAAATAGAACTAATATTTTTCTTTTTATGTTTGAATTTATCATTTAATAAATAATTTTTATGGCTTATGCGGTGAAAAGGGTGGTTGGCTTTATATATTTTATTTAAGATATTGATCTTAAGCTTTTGTAGGTACCAACACTTCCTTGACCTATATTGGATTTTATTTTCAAAAGACTTCTCAAATTTTATTGAGCATAATATTAGAGTTCTTCTATAAATCGCTTCTATATTATGTATTTTTGTATAACTTTTCTGTTTTATAATGTATTTAAACTTTTTTTACGGTGCTTTGATTTTTGTTCTATTTTTAATCATAAATAATAAGCTAATTTCATAAACAAAACGCACAAAAAGTTTGACTCCGTAACTGCAGGCTATGTATTTTTTTTTAAATAAGTGACACGTATAATATATGGTTTAATGGATAAAATACATTTGACATTATATACTTCTATTTTACTATGTATATTATGCTTTTCCACATAGATGGACTTAAAATTATGAATATAAAAATAGTCGATAGTGAAGTTGGTTATTTTAGAAATACTGATCGAAATTATCAATTAATTTTATGTCCATGTTTTTTTCATGTTACAAAAGTAAATATTTAAATGCATGATTATATCTATAAACCTACCTTACTATTATGTAGAATAGTAATTAATTATCACGTTATAACAAACATATAATTACAGTAGTTCACATCTTTGATATCTTCTTTTTTCTCAAATTTAATAAGAGGGTATAAAAATACGTAATATTTATTTCAACAATTAATCCATAAATCAATAGTATCAATGATTTTCTTATAATCAAAATATTATTATTATAAAATAACTGCTCATTATATATAAACATTTTAATTAAAATTATTATAAATTTAAAATATACTTGAGAATAGCAAATACTAAATTATATTACTTTTACTAAAAAAAAAATACTTCTAAATACACACAAATATATATAATAACTAGGACTTTTTATACCTGTGTTCTTATTATGAATCATAATATTACATTTAATAATAAAATAAAATAAAACTAATCTAATCTAAATTTTAAAACGAGAAGATTACTCAAATGTAATTTGAGGTGTCAACTATAACTTATAAATCTTTTAAAAGAAATTTAAATTTCATACAAAAATAAATTTGGATCAGAAAAATTATTATTGTGTCAAATAAATCTTTTGTTGATTTGAAAAAGAAATTGATTACATTTTCATAACTTAATTGTACAATTCCAAACACTTTTTATTGAGGTTGGATGATAATATAATAATTAATCGTTGATTCTATGATTTGGTGAAATGTAAGAAAAATATAAGTCTAATAATTTTAACAATAATTTAACTAAATCTACTAGTATTCTAATATATATTACACTTATATATAGTCAACCGAATATCTAACATGCTTAAATTTTCTATTTCATATTAAGTTTGATATTTTAATACGTATAAGTATCATACAAATAAAGTACTTAAGTTTTTATACAAGACAAACACTACAAACTTTGAAAAAAATTGAAATTCAATTAGATAATTTCTTTAAGTGAAAGCTTTAATATTTACACACTAACTCAACACACCCTTAGATACAATCACTAACACATATATACACATAATAAACATATGAATAATATATAAAATAAAATAATTGAGGTTTTATTAATATAAAAATTGAAGAGAAAATAAAAAAGCACCTATTCAATAGTAAGTAAAGCAATTAAAAAACAAAGTTTAGAATCTAATTTGAATAACAAACTATTTATCTATAACCTATATTCATCGAAATCAAAGCACCATCGGCACACAAGATTACCAACAGAAAAGTGAACAAACAAACCACAGTATATTAATTGCACACTCAAATCGCTGATGCTACATTGTTAAGTAGAACCTTGCTTGAGAATGAAGAGCTATAATACTATATTGTCTCGCTTTTTCGCGGTTTTCTAATTAATTACATAACAATACACATAAAACACCCACACAAACCATAAAACTTAAATACTTATCATTTCACATTAAATCCTTTGGAACAATTTGCTATGGACCGACTGGCAGTTTAAATGTTAGATAGTAAAAAAAAAAATTAGTCATACGTTGATTTTGGTCGTAGTATTATGGTCACAGGACAATGATGACTTGTTGGACACTCATGGTTTCGGTGAACATCTCAACGGCATTGAAACGCCAAATTTATCGAAGCCGAAAAATCATAAATCGTTGGCGGACATTGATGAGGAATTTGAGGAACGGTCGGTTGTATTGCACCCATTTTTTGATCAACCAAAAAAAGACGTTTATGAACAAGTACAGTTTAAAAAACATCACGATGACTCACCTGCATTTGATAGCCCATTAACAGATAAAAGTGTATCTCATCATGATACGGGAATTAGTCTGACTAGAGAATATTCTGATACTTTAACTAGTTCAGGACTAAAAACAAAACCTAAACATACAGATACAGCTTTTGACGAAGAAGCAGAACTGACTGATAATGGATTAAGTCCAATTCAACCGGATGATGTTGGACTTTCTGCAAATGAAATAATAGATATAAAGAAGAAAATTGGAATGTATGACACCGGAAATAGCCCAATAATATTTATGGAATCCATAGCATTATCTCCTTTCGGAACAGTGACAAGTGACGTTGCTACTATCACTGATAATGTTAAAAAAATTGATGTAGCAAATAGTCCAATAGAATCAAATAAAGTTCAAAGAAATATAGACACAACAGTAGACGTGAAAAAAATGATAATGCAATTGGAGAAATCTGGTACAGTAACGGAAACTGTAACGTCCAAACAGTCACCAAAAAGAAAACAATCAGTAAAAACATTTAAATCGGAAATAAAACATCCAGAAGAAAATCAAACTATACATGTTGATATCGAAAAAAAACATAAGCAATGTGATGCAAATACAACTAATATACAATCAAAACTAAACGAAGTAATTAAAACAGAAAAATGTGTGTTAGAGCATTTAGAAAAGGTTGTAGATACATCATCTAAAAATAATTTAGAGCTTGAAAGTAAATTATTGCAAATTGTTAACGCCGAAACAAGCATGTTGCAGAGCTTTGACAAATTAATTGACAAACACGATAAAAGTGCTACAAATTCGTGTCTGAAAAACGTAGAAAAATATATCTTGTCAGCTGAGAAAGCTGATGAAAAGTTAAAAAAAACAGACATGACAAATACATTGCCAAACTTACATATGCAATGTAGTGAAGATAAAATTGAAAAAAAATATGTAGACACCGGGTATAAAAAAGAAGAAAGTATTATGGAGCCAATTAAAGTCACAGGTATTTCTGAAGAATTAAAAAAATTAATAGACGATGATGAGAAAGAACAAGAAAGAATGTATAGAGTATTACTGAATGAAAGTTATACTAACGATGATAAATATATTAATAAAACGCCAGTAGTTGAAGAAATTATAACTCCTAAACGTGTAAAACCAATTACAAAAAAAGATGATGCCATATGTGATTTACAAAATAATGAACTTTATAATAAAACTACCAATGTCATAGCTTCATTACCACCAATAAAAGAAAAAATTAATAATACTATTCAAACTACAGGTTTTAAAGAGAATGAACGATTAAATGCAAAAAAATATAAAACTGAAAATGATGAGATATTAAAAAAAGATAAAAACGACAAAAATAAAATAATATTTTATGAAGAAGATGAAGAAGACGAGTCAGATATTTTTGAAAAATTTACTCGGGAGCATTTGAAAAAGTCTTTAGACCTATCACAAAAAAATGATAATGATAAAAATGAGAACCCCAAGGATATAGATTTTGATATAATAGATGACGAAGAAAATGAAACGCACAACGCTAAAAAAGATAAGCCATTATCTTTTATACCTAAAACAATAGAAAAAGGATTGAAAGATATAACGATGACACTAACAAGTATTGTAAAAAAAATGGATGTAAATGATATGTCAGGAAAGAAAACTGAGAGTGAGAGAGGTGAAAGAATAAATGAAAGTACAAAGCAAGTGAGTGGAGAAATAGAGTCAAATAAAAGTAAAAATACTAAAAATAATAATACTAAAAACGATCTAATGTCTAATACAACACCACACACCCCAATTTTAAAAAGAGATTCATTAATAAAGAGTAATATTAAAAGTGATAATCTAAGAAATGAGAGTATAGAACAAAGTAAGTATAATATAGAAAAAGATACTAAAAAAGAACTAGAGAAAAATGTTGAAAGGGGGGTTAAAGAACAAATCAAGTTAACAACAGATACTAATATAAATCTTAAACCTGTAAAATCGAATTATAACACCGAAAACGAAATAAATAAAAATAAACTTAAATCTGAAAAAACAAATATATATAAAAATGACAATACAGCCATAAACATAGACGAAACTATAACAACGACTTCAATAGAAATTAAATCAATACCAACCAACGTAGAATCATTAGTAACAAATTTATCTATAAAGTCTGAAGTAAAACCAATTATAAAAGAAAATCAGAGAAAAATACTACACAAAGATAAATCAGATAT